CTATAATAATTGAAATTGACAAATTTACCTTTACCAAACGATGCGAATAAACATAGCCGGTGATATACACTAAATTTAATAAATTCTGTAAAGGTACTCTGACCCGTATTGCCCATTGAACCAGGGACTTTACATCCCAAAACTTAAAACTGCTGGATATACTTGGGGAAATATGCTCTTTGCAATAGTGACAGAGATTGTGGGTGTTAGTATAAGAGAAATGTCATTGAGGATGCAGAACTCCAGAAGATTGTGGAGGTGCTCTCAGCAATCCATTGCCATGGCATTTTACATATTGACATTCTAATTCATGAATATAAAGATAATATTCTTATTCAGCCTGACAATGGCACAGGTAGAAATAAACAACTTCAGCCTCAATTAAGCTGCAAATTTGTTTCTGTAATCTGTCAGAAATGTATGTTAAAAGTATTTATATTCCAGTCATGTATTATATAATTTACTCCAGTCTAAGTCTCCAGAGAAAACAACTCATTATTAATCTATCATCAGAACCCTCTTTCTAAAAAACTTTCCTACAAAGATAATCAAATTCAGACTCATTATCATGTTATGTAAGAGCATAGACATTAGTCAATATCCATAATCATGATGCTTCTTCCAATTTTTGCCATTTTTATTTTGGCTGTCAGTTTTTCAATTGTAAAATTGATATTCATCCATTTTTCTGATTGGCTACAATATTTTATACAGTTGTTTTTCCTACACAATATTTCCAGCTAGTACTATGTATTGTTGAATTATTATTATGTCTTATGAAAGCATCTATTTAGATTTGTTGATCCAGTCTTTTATTTTCTCTGTGACTGTCCCATAGTAATTTCACGAAACCCCACCCACTTGTTTGGTTCAGTCTCTCAATTTGTCCTTGGGATTGTGGATGGCGAGAACGGCCCATGCATAATAATAATTTAACATTCAAAATGTTACAGACATTTTTTTATTATGTCTGCAACAAATTCCTTCCCATTATTGCTTTGGAGGATTACCGCCGATCTATCAAAAACGAAACTTTCGCAGGAATACAGTAGTAATGCTGTAGTAACGTGATCGCATAAATTCACGCGTCGACGCTCTGGCTTCTTTTTTTGTTTTTCCATACTCGGCCACTTCCCTTCAGTCGCTTCTTTTTGAGCTGTCTCCACGCAATGCCTCCCAGAAAGACGAGGCACGCTGAAAGATCGTCCCAACAAGTCGCCTAAGGTAAGCTCCTTTATAGCACTGGGCACCCTTTCTCAGTTAGAAGCGTAAACCTGGCACATACGAACCCCGCTCCATACCTTTTACCTGCATTGTAGTCAAACTGGGCATCGTATGAATCAACGCGACTCTTATCTTGACACTCGCTTATATACTAATACTGTAAACCGGACCCGCTCATCCTCCTTTTCCCTGCCTCTAACTGATCCTTCTATTTGACTATTCAAAGACACTACGATAATTGCTGTCTGGATCAGGCCTCTACTGCGATCCTCGGACGGCACTTCTCTCACAGATCCAGGCCTGAATATTAGCAAGATCAGAGTGTCCGGGGACGCCGCTGACATCGACGACCTCTGCCGGACTCTTATCACCGATGTTGCCTTCCGCGGCGTGCTTCAGGGTATAGGTTCTGCCGAGTTAAAAGTCTACAGCCGATTGGACGAGAGCGGCCTGCCGGTAGACGAGCTACCAGTCTATCAAAAGTTGTCCAGAATCCCTATTGACGAGACATACGGTAATCCTTTTGTCGTGGTTGTAGCGCCGCTACTGCCAGGTAAATTGCAAAAGTGTAGTGCTTGCGGTGACGGAGAGTAATATGGTTTCATGCATAGAAGAGAGTAGGCGTAGTGATATGCTAACATCCTAACAATGCATATCCTGTTTGCAAACATGTAGTAAAAATCTCGCAAACCGACTTCGTCCGCCAACGGCCACCTTCCATTACATACCTAACAACTAAGTCTAAAAGTTGTCAATCTACGCAATTAGCTTATAGACGTAAACCAGATCAAACTCAAAGAATGGCGTGAATTTAAGAATGTTATTCAGAATCATGGACTTTCCACCACACGTGAACATGATCTGCCAACATTTATTACATATCCAGAGATAGTCAGTGAAGCTGACGTTCAGTCAGCATTTCAGGTTGACATACTGCAACCACTGTCCAGAATTATTGGATTAAACCTCAACATGGTGGCATTTGTATGATGTTCTATCAGAATAGGGTGGTGTGGGGAGGAGATTGCTCTCAAGATCTCTGATATATTAATATCACAACATCCAGAGTTTAAGGAGGAATTACTCAATGAGGTGGCAATTTACAATACTTTAAAAGAGTTACAAGGGAAATACATACCAATACTTAAAGCAGCTGGATACCTATGGGATCAGATGCTTTTTGGTATTGCAACAGAGATTGTAGGCACTGCAATAGAAGTAGTGTTGTATGTCAGTTCAGAACTGACATAAATTCCAAACTGACATACAACACGGTTAATTAATTTACTTTTAAGTCCATAAAAACATTTACGAAACCCGTTATGCTTAATGCCAAAGATATGCACTATTCGTCCTAAAACGGGCAAAGTAGATTCAGTACATTCGAAGTTATAAAAGCTCTTTGACAATTTTTTTTCCAATTCATTCAATCTCGAATTGATTTTCTTCGATCTACACTCGATTACATATCACTAAACATGAACACAACAAGCATCATTTCCTCTGCCGCTTTTAATCTTATTGTCGAATGCTTTATGTCTAGCCATGGCGAAAGAAGAAGACCAAAAATTCTTATTACGCAAGAAATGTACGATGAAGCAATCGCAATTTTGAAAAATCCTGAAAATAAAACAATATCTAGACCAAAACAATGCTACTGGGTAAGCTTACTATTGGCTGAAATATGTTAAGATAGTAAATATTAATTTCCGAATAATTATATGGGGCATGCTGCAACAAAACCAGACAAAGTGAACATTCTGTTTTGTGAGGCTGATTATGATGTGGCTGTAAAATTG